TCTGTAAAGCTGGAAAAAGGAGCACTGTAGAAACTGTCATGTAATTATTGGTTAGAAACTGAATGAATGTGCTCTTTTTCTGACCACAATGCTGCTATGTTTAGTAGACAAGGCTTTGGCTCACTTGTAAATAGCATTTTGTCTTTGTGAGAGATCAAGGAACATGTGCTGCATCTTGCCTTCTATATGTATATACAGAGTATTGTCTTGTTTACATTTTAGTCATTGATCTAGAACTTTAGTGGAGGCTGCTGTTTTTTCTGAATCAGGGAAGGTACTTTTTCAGTTCTTTGATTGTTAGCATAAAAAATGAACTTGTGGTCTGTTTTAGACTCTCTCTCTCTCCAATTCCTAGCCACAAGTTAGCAGGAGAATCTATCCTTGTCAGATAAGGACAAACTCCTTGTGTTCTTTTATTACTAGTGGGAAGCTGTGGATTTTAGTTGCCTTTTGACATGATTCCATTTGTTTTGTTGGTAGTGGTGGACTTTCCATTGCCAATAAACATTGATTCTTGAGGTTGGATTTATCTTTTAGGATGAACTTACTAATTGTTAAGGACTGTAGATTATGTACCTTATGGATAAGAAAACATGGGAGTGTTAATGATGTTTCTTGTTTCCTGAGGGATGTTTGGTTCATGGAAGCTAGATTTGTATAATGGATCTGATTGTAGTATTTAGATTTGTGGTGTCCGGTTTTGTAAGTTCGTAGTTCGTAAAGTCGGCAAGGTTTGGGAGTTCTACGTTGTAAACCAGTTTAAACTAAGTCATCCCTTTGGATGCTTTTGTTATTGCAAATGGTTTAGTCATTGAATTAGAGGTTCGGTTGAGTATAGCTCAACTAGTTAAGTCGTTTTTTCATTTTTTTTTCTAAGAGAGTTTATATACGATTTAGTGATGGTCAATTCTTTCAACCAAAAAAGATCATTACATTTGACTTCAAGTGGTTAATGATCAAAGTTGTTTGTTTCTATTTATAGGTTGGGCCTGGTTCGTGGAACACATGGAAGAGCTCAATATCGTAGTGTTTGTCTTTGATCTTTATAGGTTCTGTCTAGTTCATGGAACTCGTGGAACTCATCGAAGAGCCTAATACCGTAGTGGTCGTCAGAGATGTTCTAAAGAAGTATGTATAAAAGTAGTAGATTTATTGCAATGAAAAAGGAGAGTACAAATTAGAAGAGGTTACACTTTTGTTCATCCCTCCAAGGGAAGGAGGAAAGAAACTATTACCACTCTTCACACAAAGATGGCAAAGCAAAATACACATCACAATGAAGAAAGACTCAAAACAAAACTACCCATCTTCTTAAAATGCATGCCACTTCAAAGATCACTGCATAGACCTGCCATGTACAAGAAGAATGAAGAAGTCATTATACTTCTCCATTAGAAAAAGCACAATATCGTGATCGTAGTTTCGAGAAATAAGAACATTACCAAACAGGGCTTAAACATGACACTCCGGTGGGATCGATAAGCCACATTTACCAGGCAAAGCCATGGCATTTGCAGCGTCGATGCCAATGGCAGGAAGCATAGACTTGAGATTGCAAAGACACTTAAGGTCAGCACGGCGAACCACAGCACAGCAGCCTTCCGTTGGCAATGGCAGAGGCTGGCCATGCTCCGGAGTGGTAACCGCCGGGCGGCATACGCCGAGGTCAGTGGTATCGATCTTACACAGCGGAGATGCGAAGACGCCACCGACGGCGATCAAGAACAGAGCTGCCACCAGAACCTTGTTGGGAGCCATTGGTGATGGAGGAAGGAAAATTTGAAGCTTTTTTTGAAGAATTGAGGGTGTTTTGAGGGTGAAGGAGAGGTGGGGTTTTTATAGGAAGGAAAAAGTTTGGATCTTGAGGAGTGTTAGTTGGTTGTGTTTTGTGTTTTGTGTTTTGTGAAGTTTTAGATGTTTCACGTGAAGAACAGTCTGTTGTTGATAGTCACGGGTTGAGTTGCTATCTCTTTCTCTATGAATGTGTGTATATAATAATGTGGATGATACTCAAAACCTTGCATCAACAATATCATTTTGATTCTTCTTGCTTTTTCCTATGATTGGCTCATGTTCTCTTTTATCCCTATTTCTTCCGTTAAATTATACGTTTTAAGTTTTAAGTTTTAAGTTCGTATGTATTTAATCCCTAAATTAAAAAAATGTTGGATATATCGATTGAATGACGAAATTCTTGAACATTTGGTGATCTCATATATGTTGATATCATTTTTTCGGACAGAAGATGATTATGTAAACACTTACACGAAGTCTCGCTTATCAGATTCCATTTTGGAAGACAATTTTTTATAAAGAATTAGTCATGATGTAGCTGAATTATGCATAATATCACGAAAAATGGATACATATTTACTAGTTTAAGAATCCTTGAAAATTATTGAAATGAGTAGTTATATGTTGGCTAATTAAGAAGTTGACCATGAGTTTATAAGTAATGAATACATCTCCATTAGTATGAAGACTTGTAAACTATCATATTATTGTGGAGAGTCGTGGTTTCTAACACCAAGTCCTCTTGTAGAAGGTGGGATCTCATTATTTAAGTCCCGATATCACTCTTAACGGATCTATGTTGAATCATTAACAAGTTGTTCGTTGAAGAATTAATGGTACTTAAAGGATCAAATTAATATTTAATATAAAAGAGAAAATATTCTTAATTTGAAGTGTTCAAATCTTTTAAGAAGATCCCACAAACATTTAACCTTCGATTTGAGTCCTCACGAAGAAGATTTCATGATAGATTCATTGTTTTGTCAATTCTAAATAAAATCAAAGTAACGTTTTCTCTACTTGAATAAGGCGTTCATCTTCAGTGTATCAAACCATCAATTATTAAGATAATAATTAATATTTTATTCATCATATTCTAATGGTTACCAATAAATATTTTTTTTTTCTTTGTATCTATACAAATTTGTGTTATTTGGTAATTCAATTAAACTCTTTTTGGTAAAGAATTCAAACTTTTTTAAAACAAATAATATTTTATATTTTTGTTTATACAGATTTTGATTTTGAAATTTCATAACTTAGAATTATAATTTTTTTTAAAAAAAAAAAAACTTTAAGAAATCTAGTTTCATGTGATATAAACTTAATTTATTTTTATTTTTTAAAATTAAATATGTATAATACTCTAATATATTATAAATTAAATAATATTGTAATATTATAATTATAAAAAATTTATAACTAAAATGAATTATATATTCATAAATTAATCATTAATACTTTTTATCCAACTTAATATTTATTTTTGCAACTACTGGTCGATAAATATATCTTGGAATATAATATGAACCATTATTAGTATTTTATATATATATATATATATATATATATATTAACATCATTCGTACTAAAAATTATTTAGATTATAGGGAGGCGAAAAACAAGAAATATCTATCCAACACATTCTAAGAAATATGGAATAAAAATATTTATCGAACATATATGTGGCTCTAATTCTTAAAATATTTTTATTGAGACGAAAAGGAGTACATATCAAGAAATGGTACTCTGAGATGGGTAGAAGTGGGTTAAGTCAGTATCGCTATGGAGCAACAAGTCTCATTCCCGACAAGCACACACGAAAAGCTAGATGTAGGGAGCACAAAATATTGTAAATTACAATGAAGAAAGACCGAAAATAAAAGTAACCCATCTCCTAAAAACACATCATTCCAATCTGTTTCCAAACTAACCACGGCACTCGGGGGGAGTATGAATGCCACATTTGGAAGGCAGAGCCAAGGCATTAGCTGTGTTAATCCCGATGGTAGGGAGAACAGACTTGAGGCTACATAGGCACTTGAGATCTGCACGTCGGATAACCGAACAGCAGCCTTTGGTTGGAGGTTGCAGCGGCTGCCCGTGTGGTGGAGCAACCGCTGGCTGGCACACCTTGAGTTCCTTCGTGTCGACCCGACACAAGGGAGTAGCAATGGTACCAGCCAGAAACAGGCTAAAAAGCAATGACGCCAAAAACTTGATCATCGTGGTCGCCATAGAGGGAAAAATGATTGAATGGTGGGTTTGGGATGGGAAGATCAGGAGGGGCTTTATAGCTCTACATGGCTTCACGTGAAGAACTGGCCTTGGTTTGAGAGTTCACGGGTTGGGGTTGGTCCAATGCCAATGCATATTTTAAATCTATCTACCTTTTAATATATATATATATATATAAGCTATTGATCACATCATTTACGAAAGTTCTTTCGTGCAAATGAAATCAATTTAGTCAGTGTTTTGTTCGGGTTCACTAAAGAAATGATTTTTAAGGTGATAGAATTCGAACCTATGGCCATTTGTACCCAAAATAGATGCTTTGATCAGACTGCGCTACACCTCGTCTCACATCGAGTCTTCAGGGGGAGGGGGATAATGCAAGATGGGTAGTTTATATGATCTCACATAAAAGTTTGAATCTTTCTTTGGGGATGCTTTACTCCAAACCCCATAAGGTTCTAAGACGGAGCTTAACTTAAGTCTATCTCGTACACATTTCGACAATTGGCCGAACGAATCAAACTACCTTTCCTTACTTTAGGGTTTGCTTTCATATTTTCAACCGACAGACAGTATGCTCTAGATCAATCGAATCTACTTCCTAATTGTATTAGGCACTCTACCCGTCTTTACACATACAAAAAAACACTCAGGACGAGGTGTAGACAATGTGAGATTGACTAACCTTCCCAATCCATATTCCAATGTGGGGAGGAAACGCTACTATTATCTATATGCATTTAATTTAAAGTGAGAGAACTTGAACTTCTAACTTTTGTGGTTGAGAGTAATGCCTTTAGAAGTACATATTGAAAACGCTACTATTATCTATCATGCAATTTAACGACGAGAATTTGAACATGTAACCTTCTCGGTCGAGAAAAATACCTTTTAACTCGTAAGATAAAGCTAAGGGTAAAGTAACAGCGTCCCTTAGCAAGCCTTTCTACACAAAGAGACAAAAGAAGAAAGCAGAGTAAAGGCTAAACTTTTACTACATAAAACATATAGTTTATCCATAATCAGTAGAGTGTAAGGATGTTAGAAACTCCAAAGCTCATTCTAAACCTAAATACAAAGTCAGACAAATGGAAACCACCCAAAGGACTATGGCAGGCAATTGCAAAATAAACTCTGCCATAAGCCCCCATCTTACATTCCCAAGTTCACACCTAACTTACTTACCTTAATATAACATCCACAAGTACAATATTAAAATCACTGCTTACAACATTTCATATATATATATATATATATATATATATATATATATATATATATATATATATATATATATATTGACTTTTCCGAACACTGCACCGATATAAGTCGCTAATGCCATCAATCTGCAAATGCAATCAAGGATCGACGTTCATTAGTTTGTCCTTCTTCTGCCCAATCCTTACTTTGGTGCTTTTTTGAAAAAGAAAAAGTAGAAGAAACAAATTCTTCAACTAAAGGTAAAGCATGCACCGCAGCTGGCACTGCTACAAAAAGCTAATCCTTCAGTTCTTTTTTTGAAAAGGAGAGAGGAAAAAGGAAACAACAGTCCTTCGAAATTCAAAGCTGCAAATTATTTTGTTAAGGTATCCATACTAAAAAGATAACTTTGTACAGGAATACATTCATGGGTAGCAGTAATTAGTATGTTTCATTAGATTTCTATAGTGTAAGATTGGATTAAATAGACCGATACATATTTTTTAATCGAGTTTTCATGTTCTAGTTTAACATCTTTGATGAATTAAATGTGCTTTTGTAAGATCCCATATCGGTTGGGGAGGAGAAGGAAACATTCTTTATAAGGGTGTGGAAACCTCTCCCTAGTAGACGCGTTTTTGAAAACCTTGAGAGGAAGTCCAAAGAAGACAATATCTGCTATCGGTGAGCTTGGGATATTACAAGTGTTATAAGAGCCAAACATCGGGAGATGTGCCAGCAAGGAGATTGAACCACGAAGGGGTGGACACGAGGCGATGTGCTAGCAAGGACGGGTGGATTGGGGGGGTCCCAGATAAGGGAACGAGTGCCAGCGAGGACACTGGGCCCTAAAGGGGGTGGATTGTAAGATCTCACATCGGTAGGGGAGGAGAATGAAACATTCTTTATAAGAGTATGGAAACCTCTCCCTAGTAGACGCGTTTTAAAAACCTTGAGGGGAAGTTCGAAAGAGAAAGCCCAAAGAAGACAATATCTGCTATCGGTGGGCTTGGGCTAATACAAGTGTTATCAGAGCCAAACACCGGAAGATGTGCCAGCAAGGAGATTGAACAACGAAGGGGTGGACACGAGGCGATGTGCTAGCAAGGACGGGTGGATTGGGGGGGTCCCAGAGAAGGGAACGAGTGCCAGCGAGGACACTGGGTCCTGAAGGGGGTGGATTGTAAGATCTCACATCGGTAGGGGAAGAGAATGAAACATTCTTTATAAGAGTATGAAAACCTCTCCCTAGTAGACGCGTTTTAAAAACCTTGAGGGGAAGTCCGAAAGAGAAAGCCCAGAGAAGACAATATCTGCTATCGGTGGGCTTAGGCTATTACAGTTTTTATCCTTTTCATGGTGGTAGAGTATGTCAGACTCATAAGTTTCTAGAAGATATTTTAACATGTCAGGGCTTGTCTGTCAAGTTTAGAATCCTAGGTGAACTTCTACGGTGTTATAATCAATTCTACAGTTTTCTCTTTATCCAGCCATCTTTCCTAGCAAACAGAAGAACATATCAGCAGCCTCCAACACTAAGAAATTTCAATCGATCAAATTATATGCTTTTGAAAAATGTGAATTATGATGAAGCCAACAAGGAAGTTAATACTCCAGAGAAGGATTCAACTCAGATATCAGTTTTAATATATAAGAAAGTTAGAATGCACTAACCATCCTAGAAGATTAGCAATCATGATCTCCTAAATATGTGGTGGCGGCCTAAAACTTCTGGGATTCCCAGTGCAGAAATGCTTTCACAGCCGAACAGTTCTTGGAGTTTTGCATCACACAACACCGCCATTGGGTTTAGTGGGTCCTGTTTTTACAACCCAAAAACACAAGAGTAGAAACCAGGCCATTTCAATTTAAGTGAATGATAATGGGAAAATGAGAGAACAACATCCAAGATTAGTATGGTAACAGCACAAGCCCACTGCTAGCAAATATTGTCCTCTTTGGGTTTTCCCTTTTGGACTTCACCTCAAGGTTTTAACCGCATCTGCTAGGGAGAGGTTTTCACATTTTTATAAGGAATGTTTCGTTCCCCTCTCCAACTGATGTGAGATCTCACAATCTACCCCCTTGGGGGCCAGCGTCCTCACTGGCACACCACCCAGTGTCTGGCTTTGAAACCATTTATAATAGTCCAAGCCCAACGCTAGCAAATATTGTCCTTTTTGGGCTTTCCCTTTCGGGCTTCCCTCAAGATTTTAAACGAGCTGCTAGGGAGAGGTTTCCACACCCTTATAAAGAATGTTTCGTTCCCCTATCCAACCGATATGAGATCTCACAATCCACCCCCTTGGAAGCCTAGCGTCCTTGTTGGCACACCTCCTGGTGTCTGGCTCTGATACCATTCATAACAGCCCAAACCCACCACTAGCAAATATTGTCCTCTTTGTGCTTTCCCTTTCGGACTTCTACACCCTTATAAGGAATGTTTCGTTCCCATATCATTTTACAAACAAATGATGTATCACGTTGAAGAACTGGTGCAAGACTCCACTCAGAAATGTATAATTGGAAAACATTTTAAATGTCATGCAAAACAGAATAGTAATAATCTATATAAACAGACACGATTTTCTTTTAAATCCTCAGGTCAGGTGTATAAATTAGGAACTAAATCATTCCAGTACTTCGTTTAATTTATATGAGAAAGAAAAGTAAAAGGCTCAATAAGTTTGACGGAAGTTTATGGAAAGTATTACTCATTACGATAGATAGACAAAATGCAAGAAGGTGAAAGTTGCCATAGTTTATTTTCAAACCTCAAGATGATTGGCTCTTATGTATTCCCATATGCGTCTCAGAACCTCTGATTGAAGCATCTCCCTTCCATCAACACCAAAAAAACTTGCAAGAGCTTCAGATATAATCACAGAAGGACAAACACTAGGTTCTGCAGCTTTTACAGCAATTGCAGGTTCATTCTCCACTCGTGCCTTCTTCGAACTTGACGGTTCTGACAGGATTATAAAATAAACTGTTGATTTCTTTCATAACCAAAGGGGCACAAGGGAATCAAACTGGATACTTACTTGTAGGTTCAAGAGAAATGATGTGCTTGGCTAGCAACTTATTCATTTTGAACATGTCAGTGCAGTCTGTTTCGAATACCAACCGCAACTCATCGTTGCATATTATTTTTCTTTTGTTACTCGGATCCTGTAGGTTATTTTTTCTGATGTATGCCCATAGCTGTTTCACTATCTGGATCAAGGCAAAAGCATCATATGAACCTCATATGTAATAACATAGAAAATCAAATAAGAAAGTGGTAAGAACCTCAGTTCTTGGCAATTCTGGTTGCCCAACAATTGTCTGAAGTTCAGGAGAAACGCCACAAAGCTTGTTTAGCCCGCCCGGGCCTCCTCTTCTCTTAGTCTTGGTCTGAGTGCTGCATTCGAGCGGTAGAGGTGAGTTTAATCAGCCAGAAGATACATATTCAGGTTATCAAAACAAGAGAACAAACAAAAATCCATGCTTACGGCTACCAGCTGATATGCAGATTCAACAGTATTACAAGCTCTAAGCCACATGGCTTGATTGCACAATAAAAGTAAGCCCAGAATGGAAAAGTTATAGCGATTTTTATAGAAAAGTGCACATACAATATAAAGATTCCTCACAAGTAGATGCCATATATCGATATCTATTTCCAGTAAACTGGGGCAGCTTCCATCCTCATCTAATTACCTTCCGTGCTGATGCACAAATCCAAAGTTACAAATTCCTATGAAAATTTTGTCTATATATGTTCAATGGCTGTGCTGACCAGACTAGCAACTAGCTGTTCTAGGCTTTAAAGGAAACAGACAAAAAACAAATGAAAACTCAACCTGCTCGTATTAGATACCTATGAACACTCATTTGACAAGACATCATAACAGGCAATTTACTTTTTCAACAGCCAAGACAAAAGCAGAAAGTCACAGAAACTCTGAGTAATCTCCTGAACACAGAGATTAACTAAGCAGGGGCTCACCAACATTCATTGGAAACTTAACAATATCGAACCCCTCGAGAAAAACCACTAATTAGTGCACTACACACTCCAAAACCCTCACAACAAAGGTCAAAACAAGTAAACAAACAATTTCAATGCCTTCTTGCCCTATTTCTGAACTGCTGAAGTAGCGAATTTCACAAATAACTCCTACCCTTACTCGATTACACTAGAAAATCAACTACACTTCAAAATTGAAAGAGATTCGCACAAACATGCACACCCAAAACGAAGTAAATCAAAAGGGAGGGGACTCAAAAAGAGCCAGAATTCTAAAATTTGAAGAACCCCACCTCTCCTTCGGCGGGTCAGAACCGACAGCAGTGGAGGGAGCGGCGGCGGTTTCCGGTTTAGCCGGAGGAGGCTGAGCAGTGAAAGTATGAAAAGCAGAGGAAGTGGGGGAAGGAGCAGATGGGAAATTAGGGCTTTGATGGGGTGGGAGAAGGTCTTTCTGCGAAGAAGGCGGTGGTTGCTGCTGTTGATTATGATGATTCTGATGAATTTGAGGCTGTTGAGGATGAGAGCGAAGGATTAGCTGAATCTGAGCATGGATGAAATCGACCTTATGAGACAAATCGAGGCCAAGCTTGGACTGCAACTCAAGAACAACGGCGTTGAGGGAAGAAAAAGGGTTAGGGTTTGAAGGAGAAGCGGAATCGCGTAAGAGACATTGTAAAGCTTCAGAAAGCTCTTGTTCTGAAACCATTTTAGCTTCTTGTAGCTGCTGCTGCTGCTCAAAATTGATTCATAAATTAACCGAAATTAACGGTCCCTTGCTTCCTCGGCTTCACTCTATCTCTCTCAAGAACTCTCTCTCTTTCTCTCTCAAGAACTCTCTCTCTTTCTCTCTCTTCTTCTTCTTCCTTTCTCTCTCTTTCTGTGTGTTCTGTGTAGAAACACAAAGTGACAAAGCCGTCCATTTGGGAAGGTGGGTGTGTGTGCGGGTCACCAAATACACCAATCATTGCTTGCCACGTTGCCTCTCGTCTTCTTTATTTATTTTTTTATTTTTTTATTTCTTTATTTACATTTATTCATCTTTTTTTTTCTTTCTAATTATCTTACACAGGTATATACGGACGTATTAATTATTAAACTATTTATTTAAAACTAATTAATAATATTGGTAAATAAACAAATTTAGAAATTAAATTAAATTTTAAGATACATTATTGTTTTATTAATAAATTATTATAATAATATAAGATTTATAAGTATATCTCATTTAATATAATTTATTATATTATATATCTAATGTTTGATTTTGATTTATTAAATATAAGTTGGATTATGTTTAAATAATTTAATTAAAATTATTTATTTCTGGATAATTATTAAGACTTATTACAAACTCGAATTTTAAGTACATAAATTAAAATTAAAATTATTTCTGATTATCTAAAATTAAATAAGAAAATATTTTATTGATAAGAAATTCTTATCACACTAAATAATATTTTCACCCTTTTTTTTATTATTACCACTTTTTATATATGTTTTTTAAAATTATGTTAAATCTTACTCTTGAATGCTCTTGTATCAACACGAGCAACAAACGGGGAAAATTGTGAGTATATAAACACTTCGTAAGCAGCTTACTTGAAGGCTCTCGTCGCTCTTTAACCTAGTAGGTATCCACGTGTTTTACTTTCAGCTCTAGGAAGTTCGAGTCTTATCTTTACCGTTGTTTTAGCATCTAGGGAGGTTTCAAAGTTTCGAGTAGTTCTCTATCGGTTCATGGACTCACTTTGAATTTGGAGGTGGTGGTTGACTAATTTTTGGTGTTGTGGGTTTATTGGGCGAGAAATGGCATCTCTAGGGTGAACTACTTTTTTGTTCTTAGACTTAGACAGATTGCATAGCCAAAATATTGATCATCTAATATTGTGGATTGAATAAATTTGTTAGGACAATATGACATCTTTGTGCAAGGTTAACTGGTAACCCATTCTACAAGAACAAACTATAGCGTCAACATCTGAGAAAGACACTCTTTGTATATACCAGTTACTCAGTTTACTCATGCGGTCCCTTGCCCCTCTCAGGGCGAGGTTCACAGTACAATGAGCATGTTTTATGGGGACCACTGATTGTTTCCACACACGATAGTAGTACCTATCATCAGAAAAGCTATTTCTGTAGTCCATCATCACATCTTAAGGTTGGTTTACAGGCCCTCGAGTCGCTTCTACATGCAATAGTAGCTCCTCAAGTCAACTACTTATGTAGTCTTCGTCCCTTCTCAAGGCTGGGTTATCGGCTCTTGACCCACTTTTACACCCAACAAATAATTCCTCAAGTCGATATTGTTCACGTTGCTAGCTGTCTCTTAAGCTCTCTTAAATTTCATTGGGTGTTGTGAAGGTTTACTAGGTTTTTAGGGTGTCTAATTGATTTAAATCTCATCTGATATTTTCAAAACACTTGGTTTAACTCATCGAAGCTAATCCAATCTCTGGGTGCACTAAGGTCTAACCCTCTAATCTCCGTGCACAATCCTAGGGTGCTCGATCTACTAGAAACGTACTGTAGTTCAACCTCACTGCTAGCAGATATTGTTCTCTTTGAGCTTTCCCTTTCGGGCTTCCCTCGAAACCCTTATAAATGGTGTTTTGTTCTCCTTCTCAACCAATGTGGGACATCACACGTACTGGTCTAGATCAACTTGAAGCTCAACTCTAGCCTTAATCTTAACTTGGTTCATTCATGCATGCTTTGTTAGGGAGGTGTTCCTATCGACCATCAAAAGCACGAAAAACATAATCTAAACATTCATTCGAATTCAACAAGGAGATAACATTTACCAATTACTCGGAGTACATGTCACAACATTCCAGTCCTCTTTTTTGATTAATTTAGAAAGCATAAAAATAGGCATGCAACTTAAATTTCCGTCCTAGGGGCATTTCAGTAATTTTTTCGTAACGTGCATAACATTATAATCTCTAGGGAACTTCTCAATAGGATTCGAACCCATATGAAGTTTTAACGTTCGATTAGAAGGAATGTCTTTCTGTAAAATTCTCGAGAAATTCTTCGCTTCAAAGTTGAGAGCTCAAATTTAGAGGGATTATTTATTTATTTATTTTTATTTTTGTAAATATTATTTGTTATTGACCTACCACATGACTTCAGTCACTCGTTATTTCGTTTGCAGTTTTCCCCCAAAAAATGGCGTTCTCTTCTTCTCCACCGGTTCCGTCGCCCACTGGGTTTTTCCTGCATTAATTGTCGCCGGCGATTCTACGACGGCTACCGGGGTCCGATGATTCTTTTACTACTGAATGATGGCTTCAACTGTGGATTCTGCCGGCCTTAGGTTTCCGTTCACGGGTTCCTATTTTCGCTGCTAACTTCTCTGAAATGTTTGAATAGTTTATTGCGTGGATTGTGTCTCTGCCAAAGACCATACAGGTACCTTTTCGTCTCTCTCAGTTACCTACCTACCTACCTTCAGAGTTTCCCCTCATTTCAAGAACTCGTGATTATTATAGTTTAAGAGAAAACGAATATCCTCTGGGATTAAAGAGGAGATTCTCAAGCATGGTTTTTATTGCAGCTCATTCAATTTAGTGGTTAAGTGGCAGGACTGGAACAAAATATAGTAATGGCGTCTTCGGACGACGAGGCGGAGGCCTTGCCACTTTGTGTTTCAAATTATCACTTCGTGGATCATAAGGAAGAACCTGTTTCATTCTCCATTTTGCCGATTATATGGGATGAAGTGGACAGATTGGATGGCGGCCAAGAACCTGTTTTCCTGCATGGAACAGCTGATGATGGACTTCAAAAGGTTTATAAACAGGTAACTGCATGGAGGTTTGATGTTTGTGGTATAAATCCAGAGATATCGGTGCTTTCCAAAGAAAACGTGTGGATTAAGCTTCAGAAGCCAAGAAAGAGCTTTGAGGATACTATTAGAACCATCTTGATTACAGTACAATGCCTTCATGTTTTAAAGAGAAATCCAGACACACCTAGCAAATCTTTGTGGGATCAATTAGCCAAAATCTTCAGGTAATATGAAGCCGTTTAATCTTTCAGTTGGATGAATTTGTATTTGTCAATTTTAAGCCATTCATTTTCGCAGCTTGTATGAGGTGAGGCCTTCACAAAATGATTTGGTGGATCACATGTCTCTAATCAGTGAAACTGTCGAAAGGGATGATCAATTGGCAAAGTCCCAGGTTCTGTTTAATTTTTATGCAGACAATGATCTGATTTTTGTTTATTTGTTTTGTTGGATAAGAATTTTGTATGGGTGTGAAGAAGAAACAAAAGGGTGGGGGAGGGGTTATTTGATACATTCCCAAGTCCCAAATCCCCGCTGCCAAAAAAAAAAAAAAAAAAAAAAAAAAAAAAAAAAAAAAAAAAAAAAAAAAAAAAAA